TAGCATGAATTCTACCCACTTTGTTGTTTTGAGACCCACCGTGATCCGTTTATATGGTTAGTCAGTGGCCACATGTGTGATCACCCCTGTGTATTCTAAGAAAATTCATCAGCCGTTGGCATCTGTGCAGGTTTGGGAAGGAGCATGCACATTTTCCCTCTCCCAGGGGATGGATTCTCTGCCAGGGCCCTTTGTTCGAGTAGAACTAATGGGGTTACTAGCAATAGAAAAAAAATTGTCTACTGTTGCCTTTTCAGCAGATCTGAGTGTTGGGATAAAATCCCAATAATGGTGAGTCTGGTATCAAAATATTGAATGTAATCATAGTATAATCATAGTAATAATGGTGAGTCTGGTATCAAAATATTGAATGTAATATCATAGTAGAGAGAGAGTATTGTGGAAATCATCTGCCCCACAGGTAGGGGGAGGGTGTGGGATGGGGGTATACTTGGGTTGTTGGGGGTGGAGAATGGGCACTGGTGAAGGTACTGGTGTTTCACTGTATGACCGAGACATAGACCCGAAAGCTTTGTAACTGCTCTCACGGTGATTCGATAAATAAAATTACAAAAAAATGAAAAAAAAAACTAATGGGGTTACACTCGACCCTGTGGGCGATGCCAAGAATTGGACTCTGGCCTCACCCTTGGATGGCAGGTGCATTGCTGCTGAGCTGGCCATGAAGCCCCAAAGCCACAATGGGGAGGAGCCATGAGCCGCGTGCATAGTCTATGTGTTGACTGTCCAGCCAGACCTGTAGTGTTCTCCCTTGACCATGGTTTTTGTTGTTGTTTGGGTTGTTGGTTGCTTTTTGGAGGGGGTAATAGGGAAAGGCTAAGGCCAGCAAACTTCACATTTTCCAAATCTTCAAATTCTAGCTCCCTCTCTTTCCACATTTTACTATGACAACAGGAGAAACCAGTCCACATCTTTAGCACCGCTTACAGATATCTAGAAAATTCTAGAACACACTTGGGCTAAGTGCTTTGACATTTTCTAACATGGGCTGCTGGTCTCCACCCTGACAGGCAGTGTGTTCCTCCCGTCTGAGACTTCAGAAGCCCCCGTGTTGCCCTAGGGACCATATGTGATGCTAAGAATGGAACCAGGGTCAGATGCATGCAGAGCAAGAGCCGTCACCCCGAGCTAGCCCTCTGGCACCCTGGGAATTTTATAAACTAGCTTGGTTCCATCTCTTCCAGTAAAATCATGAGAGCCCAGTAAGTCAGTGAAAATCCAACATCATTCAGCTGAATAACAGAAGAAAAGAATATGGTGAGAAAAGGGCACACCCAGAAATGCTTGGGTGGGACCCCGGCAGTGTTTGGAGCTGTATGTGGTGCCAGGGATTGAGCATGGGTTGGCCGCATGAGAAGACTAGCACTCTCTCCTGTATTCTCTCTTCAGCCCCATGTGGGAGAAAAGAAAAAGGGCCCCAGGGCAGCCCCATGCAGGATAGGATGCAGCAGGACATGCCGCCCGGAGCCCTGGGCCACAATAAGCGCGTGCTCTGCCTGCACCCTCCCAGTATGGCAACTGTCGCCTCTCAGATGGCACAACCACCTGCTGTTCCTCACATGGGCCGGGCCTCAGGCCCTCTTCTCAGTGCAGGGCTGACACGTCAGGCGCCCATCTGGGAGCAAGTGGGTGGCCATGAGAGCTTCCTCCTAAGTGGCAGCAGTTCCAGAGCCACTTGGAATGGGGCCACCTGGAATTCCTGCCTGGTCGTCCCTTCTGATGCGGGCAGTAGATTTCCCACAAGTGCCATTCTAGGTGAGCTGTGAGTTAGGAGTTTCAGCACTCTGCGATCTCCTGGATCTAAAACTGGAACTTGGGCTAGAGGCAGGGGCCAGGACCTTGGGGAAGACACGCCGATTCCTTCCTGCTGGGGCAGTCTCAGCTCTGCAGGGTCTGTGTCGTCCTGGTGGATGTGAACTTTTCTACAAACCCATTGCCCAGAGTACCTTAGCATCTAACTGCCACGTGTACACGTGCTTTATTTATGCAAAACCACCCCACTTCATTCATGCCATTTATGAACCCCTTGCGCCATGTGTTGTCACCTGTCATTCAGCCTAGGTGCTTTGCTGGGAGAGGGTTGAGGTGAGAAACTCTGTGGAATGCATTTAGTTCCGGCCAGCCTCTGGTGGCCTCTGCTCCCTTCTTTGTAACGTTGTCTGGGTCCTGTTGTTTCTGAGTACAGGTATCCCTGAGAGTCCCTGCATTCGACCCTTTGGGATAAATAGTAACTAACCAGTAGTAGAGTTTGTTGTGGTTGACTTTTGAACTGATCTTCTAAACAGTTCCATTTTTCCCCCCCTGGGAAAGCAGGCCAGGCTATGAGTGGGTTCTCAGGCTGCCTTGCTTGCCTCTGAATGGTAGCAGTTGAGTCAGGCTTCTTTGCATCATTGTCTGAGGTAATGTATTCTGAAATGTTGTATCTATTTATTCACTGAAGTTTATTTTTTTACGAAGTTTTATATCAGAACAGTTTCCCCACACATCGCTAGTTGGGAGGTCATAAATTCATAAACCTCTAACACTTGTTAATTATCACATTGATGTTCTCCAGTGTCTCGAGACCCATACTGCTGCAGTTTTGAAATTCGAACTTGGGAAACCATTCTTACTTTCAGCTCTTGCCTTAGTTTGAAAGCATAGCAGTTCTAAAGGCCGACCCTTTCCCTGCTATTGCCTCTCTCCTTCCGGAAACAGAAGCGTTCAAGGAAAGATCCAAGAAAATCCTGGGGGGAACTGTTCTTTTTTTCCCCCAAGGAACCCTTGAAAAGGCCACCAGAAATAGATTCCCCTTGACTTTAACTATAATTTGCACCTCAGTAAAACAGATACCTAGAAGGGATCTGAAGCTGGGCTCTCTCTACAGGAGTAAAATTTTAGGCAAGGTTTTCTCCTTAGTGTTGGAAGGTCTGCAGTAATGCTATTTGGCCACCAGACGGCAGTGTGTCCTCAGGCAGCTCCTGCTTTCCCTGAGCGCTTCTGGCCTTTTTATTATTTAGTCAAGTCCGGCAATCTTGGATACTCGTTTTATTAAACTCTTTATCTGAGTTCTAGCATTCTACAGGATTACTTCTTAGTAAACCTAAATGTATAAAAAATTAAATATTTCATTTTTTTAAATTAAATATTTTCCAGTCATTTAAATTAAAAGTAAAAATCATCCTTAACAAGTAATTTTAAATCCTTAAAAATATGAAGTGTAGCACAGAGTCTATGTAGGAAGCTCAACTCCCTTCTCTCAAGAAACCACTCGGTGTTGTTTCACCTTCAGGTGATTTCTGGGTCTTTTCAGGAGCAACTCTCTGATGTTTCCTAGTTCTCATTTGTTCTGTCGCTTCTGTGTCTCAGGTCCCAGCCTTCTTGTCCTTTCTTCTTCATGCGGAGGAGACCAAGGAGAAGTGTGCCCTGTTCTGACGTGGTGGGGCACCACGCTGGCACCCGATAGCATCATTAGCTGAAGTTCTGCAGACCACCAGGGATTGGAACTGGGAGCCTCTGTGCTCAGTGGGGTGGGTGGGACCAGGGTCAGGAGGGGCAAGGTCTGGAGCCCAGGACTGGACCCGTCCATGTGCGGAACCCAGGGGGCAGGGGAGTAATTTGTGTGGCCCCTTCCAGAAATCCCCAGCGAACCCATTCTCCTCTCTCCACATTCCACAGCTGCCTAAAGTCAGCTTTGCTCTCTCCTCTGGGAAGACTTTGTGGTCCCTCCATTCATTCATCAGCATGGTTTTTTTTTTTTTCACTTTTTGGATCACACCTGGCAATGCACAGGGTTATTCCTGGCTCGGCACTCAGGAATTACTCCTGGTGGTGCTCAGGGGACCGTATGGAATGCTGGGAATCGAACCGGGGTCGGCCGCATGCAAGGCAAACGCCCTACCTGCTGTGCTATCTCTCAGCCCCAGCAGTGATTCTTGAGCACCAGCTGTGTCCGGTGTTAGGCTAGTTTCTGGGCTAAACCCATGCAGAATTTCCCAGGCCACATCCTGGGGCCGGGACAGCAGCTCATAACACAGTGGTCCCTGGGGAAGGTCTGTTGGCAATGGGAGAGATGGGCCTGTTCAGACGATCAGGGGCAGACCAAAGTTCTCAAAGTAGAAGTTTCTCGAGATATGCTAGCTAGCCATCATTTATGGGCTGGACCTGGGCCCCTGCATTGGCTCCTTTGTGACCCCTCTCTGTCATTGGCTGCTCTCAGAGTGTGGTCTGGGGCCCAGAGCAAGCAATAGCTTTCAGGGGAGTTTGTTAAAAACCCAGGTTCTTGAGCCCTCCCAGACCTGCAGGAGGGTATATGGGAGTAACTTGTACACTGAGGTTTAGAGGCAGCAGATTTTGTTTGCATTGTTGGTGGGTTCCCTCTTGAAGAGACTCAGTTTTGCCCTCGTCTGGCTTTTTGTTCAAGGAAACCTCTACACTCATCTCCCCTCTTTCCCACAGGGGAGGAGATGTCAGGTGTCAGGTATCAGGTCTTAACAAGGCCCCTGATCCCAGGGCCCTGCAACCCTCATGAGACCACGCACCCCCATGTGAGCGTTTCTTAAAAAGTTTTTTTGTATTGAGTCACCGTGAATTACAGTTCCTCAAGATTGAGTTCCAGGTGTGCAGTGTTCAACATCCATCCCTGCGGAAGTGTCCCCTTCCCTCCACCTCTTGGTGGCTTGTCTGGCCCACATGAGCACAGCCGCCCATCCTGCGGTGTGTCAGGGGCCAATGAGACAAACCGGCCTGCCGCCCTTCCTGCTCTTCTTCGCGGTTACTCAGGCCCCATGCTTCTGGGCTCCGGATCTAGCGAATTCAGCTTTTAATACCAATTTGATGGCTAGGACTGTAACTCTGGTTTCCAACCAGGCAATTAATTACATGGCTTTTCTCCCTGGAAGAGGCAATTTTCTGGAGTCTGGTCTCCAGCAGCTTGCCTTGGCCGGCCACGCGGCCCAGCGAGGCACTAAACGTGTGCTATTTTTGTCTTTGCTCTGCAGGAATGAGCTAGAGCGACAGTTTCTTGAATTGCTCCAGTTCAACATCAATGTTCCTTCCAGTGTTTATGCCAAGTATTACTTTGATCTTCGTTCTCTGGCAGAAGCAAACAACCTGAGCTTTCCCTTGGAGCCCCTGAGCAGGGACAGGGCTCACAAGCTGGAGGTAAGACGCTGACTGCATCCGTCTTGGGGCTGTGCGGGGGTTGCCTCCATGGGGCCCCTAGGAGACGAGTGCTACCTCTCAGTGAGCCCTTCCCCTCTGCACTGTCCTCTGGGAGCCGACTGCATGGTGTAGATTACAGTGGTTCGCACAGCCTCGTGTTTTTATAAATATGTTTTTCATCAAGGTTACATGGTTTTGCAGGAGTATAAGTTCTCATATGCTTATGTGTACGTTGCCACAAAGTCACCACAGCCCACTGACCCTTTACACCCACTCTTTGGTAACCTTAGTCCTGTGGTCAGTCTAACTGGCCATTGTCAGTCCCTGGCTTTGTCTTGCATGTGCCTCCCTTGAGTGAGGTCAGCTGCCCTTTGTCTTCCTCTTTCTCATGTTCTTCACTTCGCATGCTCTCTTCAGTTCGATCCAAGTTAGAGCAAAGCTGAGACTTCATCCTTCCTGAGACTGAGTGTATTCTGGTGCATGTGTTGGCGAGTGAGGGATGTACACACCATTTCTTTACCCACTTACCTGCTGCCCGGCACTTGGGTGGCTGCTAGAACTTGGCTGCTGTGAAAAGCACTGCAGTCAGTGTAGGAGTGCACGCGTCTTTCCTAGTTAATGCTTTTGTGTTCTTTTTGGTAGTTCAGGATGGAAGCGGCTGGAGTGCCAGGAGGCCGGGTGCAAACCCAGCACTGCATGCTCCCCTTAGCATGGCCAGGAGCCGGCCCTCAGACACTGAACTGGGCATGGCCCCTGGATACAGTGTGGCCCCCAAATAGAAACAAAAGAAAATCCCGCACACATCTATTTCCCAGCATGCTCTTTTTAAAGGAAAAATGATAGATGACTTTTAATGATTGGGATCCAATGAAGACTTGATCGTGGATTCTGCTTTTTAATTTTTACGTTGTACAAGTAGAACTAAACCAGACTTGTGGGTCTTGATGTAGACTTAGGGCCTCCGTTTGTCTGTCTGTTTGGGAGAGGGGGACACACCTGGTGGTGCTCAGGGCTTACTCCTGGCTCTGCTCCAGGGTACACTCCTGGTGAGGACTCAGGGCACCGTATAGGGTGTCAGGGATGAAATCAGGCTTGGCGGTATTCAAAGCAAGTGGCCTAACTGCTTTACCATGACTCCGGCCCTTTGACTCTCTCTTTAAATATGCCATTGAATTATTACATGTATAAGCGACAGCTCATTACCCAGGGAGACACCCTGCTTCCTTTCTCTCTCTCCTCCAATTCGCCCCCCCCCCTCCCCCCCCCCCCCCCCCCTCCCACACACACACACCCCGCAGCTGGGGCTGTTTTTTCCAAGCTGCAGTTGTGGGTTTTGGAATGTTCCCTGTTCAGATCGTTGGTGGTTTTGGGCTGCCTGGAGAATGAAGCCTGAGTCAGCTGGCACAGGGCGGTGACTGGCTCCAGGCGCCCCTGGAAGGCCCCGTGTCTATGCGCACATCTCCGGGCTAGGAGCAGCGTGGGGAGTTTGAGAAACCCTGGAGCAGGGAGAGATGAGGATTTAGGAAGGATGCACTTGGGTGCTTCCTGCCACTCCTGCTGGCCGGGTATATGCCTGCATCCCTGCCCCTGGCACCGCCCCATACCAAGTGTTCGAACAGAAGCTGCAAGCCTCCCATCTCTGCTTCATCGGGAGGCTGCTCCCCCTTCCTAAGTCACCACCACAGCCTGGCTTGGACTGGCCATCTGGGGGCATGTGCTCTGGCTTTGCTCCTGGCCAGGGCTCTTCCAGAGATAGAGAAGGGGACCTTGTGGCTGTGTCTGTGGGTGCCTCCCAGTCCCCTCCCTTGGCTGACCCGAACACTTGTCGCTTCTGGGCCAACCCAGCCCCTGATTCGAGCTGCAGGGCCCAGCCCTGCTGCTGTGGCTCAGCAGGTAGAGGCGGCCGAGTCTGTGGCCACACCAGGCTGGATGGGAACTTGCATTGGTCCTGGGTCTCAGGCTCTACCCCACTATCTTAGAGTCATTTGCCTGAACATGCATCTGCTCCAGCTCTTGTGTGTCCCCCGACAGGCACAGGCCTGTGCTGTTGGGGTTGCAACAAAGATCTCGGGGTCTAGGACCCTGTTGCCCTAAGTGGGGCATGTGACGGAACTCCTGAGGGCAAGGGTGGTGCAGCCGGGTATCTGCACACTTGATTCTCAGGGGGGCATGGAGTGTTTTCTTCTGAAGGGGGGTGGGGGAGGCGGTAGGCTGGGTGGGAGTGGGAGTCTGCCGCAGAAAAGCATTGGGGCAATGGGGTGGACTCGACCCCCTTGGGGTTCCAGAATGATGGAACTGTCTCTCCTGTCCCGCAGGCCATCTCTCGTCTCTGTGAGGACAAGTACAAGGACCTGAGGAGACACATAAGAAAGCGGTCAGCGAGTGCTGACAATCTGACTCTGCCCCGGTGGTCCCCGGCCATCATCTCCTAACCGCGGGCGTCCCCGCGGGAGACCCCGCCATCCCTGTTTCTCCTTTAGTTCGAGAGAAGACAGACTCGGGGTGGTTTCGTTTGGTTCTTTGTTTTTTTTTTTTTTTCTTTCCTTTTCTTGAATCGTAGCTCCGTCAGGCTGCCGGGACCACCGCCTCAGGCCGCGCAGTGAGACTCCGAGGGGAAGCAGCCCCGGCCTTGAGGGAACTGTCTCGTGGAAACGCCTTCGCCTTCCCCGCGGTCAAGAGCAGCTCTGGCTTCGCGAGGGAGAAGGCCGGGCGAGGAGGAAGAACAGGGAGCGGGCGGGGCGTGGCGGCAGCCGAAGGCGAGCCGTGGCCGGCGAGATTGGATGCGATTAAAGACGAGAATGCCGCAGTGTCGCCGCGGCCCGTGTATTCTGTATGACTTCTTGCATTCCTTCTGGCTGCGTTTTTTGGGGGGTGGGGTGGCGGGGGTGGGACCCGAGGGACTTTTGTTTCTTTTTCCTCTTTCCTGGGTTTGGGCCCCACAGAGCAGAGACGCAGGTCACGCCAATAAACGGTTCCGGTTGCTTGTTCCCGCGCGCCCTTGCGGGCTGTCTTCGCGCTTTCTTCCTCCCCCAGCCGGGCTTGTGCGTCTCATCTCTGGCCACTTGCAGTCCCCACGGGTTTTCCTCAGCAGAGGCAGACGTCCCGTGACTGTCGTGCTCGACCGAAAGTGTCCCTTCCCCCTGCCCCCCTCCCTCACCCCCAGGAAATTCTAGATCACATGGGTGCTTTGTGCCTTCCGAGTTTTCTTGCTCTTTCTCTCCCCCCCCCCCGACCGGAAGTCGTAATTGCCAGGAAAGCCAGACTCTGTGGGCTGAAGGAAGTAGCGTGCAGCCAAGGGATCCCCGGGTGAGAGCCTTTCCGAGTGTGAGGTGTGGACCTGAGGTGGTTGAGGAGGAGCCATTTCTTTATACTCCCTGCCCACTTCATTCATCCACGTCCACGTCCATTGTCGCAAGCAATATCCTTCTCAATTTTGTATGTTTACTTTAAATCAGAGTTAGTCTATTTGTATAAAATTTTTAAAAAATCTAAAATTAAAAAAAAAAACAGGGTGGGTGGGTATTCCAATGGGGAAGATCATGCAAGGGCAAATGTTCCTATTTACTGAGGTATTTTTCACAGAATGATTGAATAAAAAAAAACAAAAGAACTCAGCTGGCATTTTCATTGTGGGTGCTTGGAGAAGTAACACGAAATTCAAACTATGAAGGTTAATGTTAATTCATTGTGATTCTACTTTGAAAATCGCTAATCATCTGATTGGCTTATAGCTGAAACTTTTCTGTCAAGTAAAATAAAAGGGTTAATGATCGAATATAAGAGTAAGTTTAATTCTAGCTCCAAGAACCAGAGTCAATGAAATATACACTGCTTTGGGTTTTTTCTGGATCACGGACGGATGTTTCTAAGGTTTTGGTTGTTGGTGTTTTTTTTTTTTTTCTGCCTCCTTTTTTGAGTCTTGAGGCAAGTGGCAACAGATAGTCAGTGTTTCACCTTCCTCCTGTGTGAGCTTGGAAAACATTGGCATCTCACATTACTGAGTCTTGAGTATCTTTGTTCATATACCCAGTCCCCAGACATGCCTGCTGCCAGTGAAAACATGCTTTGAATGAAAGGGACTCGGGAACACAGTGCAGATCCAGGTTTCACTGAAATTTGTCTCATGTAGTAACAAACATTTGGGCCTGAAATGTTGTCAGGTTCTTTTCTGGTCTGAACTTCGAAAAGCAAACAAGCAGAATACGAAAATCACCTTTCCATTGTAATTGTGTTGATCCACTCCCTATGGGTTCCAAAATCAGCTTCTCTTCAAGTAAGAGTCAGATCTAGAACTTTAAATAGAGGCCTAAAAATGTAGAAAGTATCGTTTTATATTCCCTAACCTATATAGCTTAAAAAGGGACATATTTTCTTAGCAGAATATGAATACCTCTGAGACGTGAATTAGTTCCTTTCATGGAAAGTATCTTATTTTACCGATCCATTTCAGGAACAAGGATCTGCTGCCTTTACAGCAGAAATCTTATTTTTCTCCCTTTGATTTGAATGAGAGAGATTTGAAAATTGAATTATGTAAATATTTCAATGCATCTGATATTATTTTGTGGAGTTTATTAAAACTGCTTTAAAAATTGTAAAGTCTATTTATTGTATGTATGTACATACAGTCTGATAACTTAAAATTTAAAGTGATTCCGTAAAACCTGGCTCAGTCTTGTTTAGACTATTGAATATTGTTTTAGCCTTGTACACTGGACTCTACCTCTGTATAGGAAAATTTTCCATATTCATTAATAAGTATTGATCTGTATTCATTGGTTCTGTCTCTTGCATCAAGGATTTTTAAAATTGCTGTAAGTGTAGTTTTAGTTTTACTTTGCAGTATGAATCACTTGATACACGTAGATACTTGAGGTTTAGTTTATTTTTCTACAGGATCATGAAGAGTTAATGTTTTGTTTTCTGGTTTGTTCTAAGTTTGCCAAGAAAAAAAAAAACACAACTAACAAAAGACCAGTATGGGCCCTACTGATAGGTCACAGAGACTGTCCTTTGTTCTCTAGGTGATTCAGTGCTCCACACACAATGCTGGTCACTGTCAGAATATATTGTCTCAGTGCAACTTTCCAATGGACGGTTTTCATCTTTTATGAAGGATAAAGAAAAAAACCACATCATCTATTGACTTAGTTGACTTAACCAACAAAGTTGTGAGGAGAATAAATAATATATCCCAATCTAAAAAGTTTTTTTTTTAAGTTTTATTATTATTCAACTGGAGAAAGAGAAAGAAGTCAGGGATTTTAAACCAAATTAGAGGGCAAGGTGGGAGAACCTCCCCAGACCTGAGATGTGCTCCCATGCCTTACTGTGCTGGCTGGGGCCGGGCTCAGCCCCACACCCTCATCTGGCTCCTTTCCTGGGCTGACTCTCCCAACTTCCTTCTCTTGGTCTTTGGCAGGAGCATCTCTGTCTTGGGGTTTTCCTTGATTCTGGGGATCTTGAACCTCATCTGAGCTGCATAGCAGAGTTTGGGGAGTGGACAATTTTGATCCTTTCTGGCTGCTTTTGGTAACCTCTCACCTGGGGCCATATTTTACAGCTTTGAATTTTCTAAATATAATTCTTGGTTTATTGTAGGTACTTAATAAGTGTTAAATAAAGAAATACAACAAATAGTGCTGCTTTCCTGTTGCATTTTTTGCTTGTTGCTTCTGTGTATTATTTTAAGACACAACAGGTTCTCTGGGTTCTGAGCGAACCGATCCTTGCAAAAGCAGTGGGAAGGTGTCAGACCTGGAAGTCGATTCACAAAATCGTCCATGAGACTGACTAAGAAAACTCAGCAACTGAGATGGTCAGCTTGTAACACTTTGGTTTGACTACACAGTTTTCTTTGTAGCCCCCTTTTACTTCACTGGAGTCCAGGATCTCAAGACTTTTGTTGGGTGGATCTGAGAGACACATCCTCACTAGAGGGCCAGCCGTACAGGTCCCAGTATGATGGTTCTCTAGTTGAGGTGGAAACAGAATACTTAAAGAATTTGAGATTTGTAAGTTAAACTATTGGACTTAAACCCTACCATGGGGCCAGCGGGCAAGGCACGTGCATGTGGTAAGGCCTTAGATGTGGCTGACCCAGGTTTGATATCCAACCCCTCACTCCCATCACCACCACCTCCATAGAGTCTCCCACCAGGAGTTGGTCCCTGAGCACAGAACCAGGAGTAATCACTGAGCACTGTCAGATGTGACCCAACACCTCTCTCCAAAAAGAGACCCTGCCAGCCTCATTAATGCCATGATTTTCTGTTGCTAAACAGTTTTCCTCAAAGCTTCCCTAGAGCTCCTACACCCAAAACCAAGTCACCCTTCCCCCCTCACCACCCCATCCCCTACTTACTACCCAGTCAGGCCCCAGAAAGGGATGTCAGCAAAAGTGATGCACCAACACGGACAGATCAGGCAGCTGTTGGGTATTTGCTGCAGGATTCTTTGGCCATGTGAGAAGCTGCTAAAGGTGTGTGGGGAACTCCCAAGGAAGTCTGTCCAAGCAATCATGTTCAGATCACTTAAAAAAACCGCCCTCTGCAAAAACCTGCTACTCAGTTGAGGGGTCTTACGGGGTGGGGTCCAGCTTTTCCAGGTCTGTTATTTCAAATGCAGCATAAAAGAATGGTTGGGGTTGGGCCCTTGAGTCAAGAGTACTCAAGAATAAGGCAAGCAGATTTCACACAGCAGACGCCCCAAGGGAGAGGGGTCTTCAGTTGAGAAAAGCAGTAGGGTTTTCCTCAACAATTAAGTAGTTACACTGAGCAGAATCAGGGATAGTTAATGCTTTGCTCTCTGCCTTGGGATTTGCTCTCGTGTCAAGCAGGATGCCCATAAGCAGATGTCAGTGGTCAGCAGATGTTACGGGACCTTGTTGCTAGGAGGAGAACTGTCTGCCCATGGGGTTCTCCACTGTTCTAAGAAGGGCATCCACGGGCTGGAGAACGTACAATCTGCAGGGCCTTTGCTTCCAGGTAGCCAACCTAGGTTCAATCCCGGGTACTGCCTAGGATTCCCCAACCACTGTTAGGAATCATCCCTGAGCACAGAGCCAGGAGTAAGCCCTGAGCTTCACTAGCTATGTCCCCCTCCCTGCCCAAAACAGGCATTCCACAGGCTGGTGAGATGGTACAGTGGGTAGGAAACTGATCTTGTGTGTGGCTGTCTGGATTCGATCCCTGGTTACCCTGATAAAGTCCCCTGAATCCAGAGACAGGAGTAAACCCTGAGCATCACTGGGTGTGGCCACTACACAAAAGTCATTCCAAAATATGTTCCAGATAAATTCCTTTTTATTAGAACAGTAGGTACGACATCATGTTAGTGTTTTATTGGTCTTGTGTTAAATGCAACATTGAGTTTTAGTTTTAGTCCAAAATTAAGTTGCTGTGTGGCCTTGGACAAATTGCTTTGCCTCTCTGGATCACTCATTAAAACTGAAACAGGAAAGATAGTCTTACAACTTGTTTTACTGCTGTTTTCCGTCAATACGTACCCCGCTATCCTTGGGTCACAATTGTTGAATACTCCTCTGCATGAATGTAGGCCGGCCTAGTGACAGCACAAACCTGAGTTCCCTGGAGGGAAGCAGTTATCTCTTCCCATGTTCTCACCAAATAAGGGCCAGGATGGTCATTACTGAGTGCAGTTGTCCTGTGCGAGAGCCTTGAACATCCAGAGTTCAGTTGGGTACCACCCCTAGTTGAACTAAGCAACATGGTGTCCAGCTTATTTCCTAGGTGGGTTCACTGAACTTGGTTTGTGAATTCTTGTCCGTATTAACATGTTGTTGCCAGTCTGCAATGTGTGCTCATTAAGCCACCTCTAAGTGTGAGCCCTGGGTAGTACAGTGGACATCAATATGTTCATGGATGCTGAAGTTCAAAATGAGACTGTGTGAAATGCAGCTCTTGAAAAGATTGCTTCATTCTTTATGTTTGCCTCAGCGGTCTTCCTTTAGACCTACACGTCAAAGCTCAGCAAATCCAGCCTTGGGTTGATTTTTGCCTCTTCCAAGTGGCACCCCCGCTTGGTGCAGAACGATGGAAGACAGTGTGCTCTTGCAGGTGTCCCAAATACGTACCTGTTGCTCACTAATTCTACTAGTCTGCTTAAAGTACTTTTCAGGGGCTGGAGCAATAGTGCAGCACGTAGGGCTGCCTTGCATGCAGCCAACCTGGGTTCAGTCCCCAGCACCCCTCATGGTTCCCTGAGCCCCCACCAGGAGTCAGCCTTGAGCACCACTGGGTGTGGCCCCAAACCAAAAGATAATAACAATAATTCAGGTCTGGGATGTAGCTCAGTGGTAGATTGCCCGATCCTGAATGAGGCCCTAGGTCTGGCCCCTGGCACCTCCAAACAAAATAACAAAACCACAGTATACTCCCTAATCATTCCTCCCTCCCTCCTAGTAACTTTTAGAAGGGGGGAGGGGCTTTCATTTTGGAGGACCAAAGGAGTTGAACGGCATTTGGAGTTAGTATCTGGGAACCAGTGCTACCAGTGCAGATGCCAAAGTATTGGGCCTGGTTTAGGACTTGGTGGAACAGATCGGAGAGCTTCGGTTCGAATTGTTTCATGTTTAAAACAAACTTGTTGAGTACTGCACCACATTTGATGGTATTCAAAGTTGGAGGCAACCAACCTTAGAGGGAAATATACTATTTCAGTTCTGCTTTGGGGCAGGGATTGGGATTGGGGATGGAAACATCCGAAATATAGTGGTGGGAAGGTGTAATGGTGGGGGGATTGGTGTTTGAATATTAAATTCAACCAAATATTGTGAACTGTCACTGTCACTGCTCCAGCCCGTTGTGAACTACTTTATAAAATTAAAAAAAAAATAAAAATGAAACAAACTTGTTGACTAGATTGTCTTTAAAAAGGTTTCCTACTCCTAACTGGGCTGGAGTGATAGCACAGGGGGTAGGGCATTTGCCTTGCACACAGCCGACCCGGGTTTGATTCCTCTGTCCCTCTCGGAGAGCCTGGCAAGCTACTGACCCACCCGCATGGCAGAGCCTGGCAAGCTCTCCGTGGCATATTCGATATGCCAAAAACTACCAAGTCTCACAAATGGAGACATTACTGGTGCCCACTCGAGCAAATAGATGAACAATGGGAGGACAGTGCTACAGTGCAATGTTTAACTAGGCTCTGAACAGCTTATTCTGGGATTTTCAAGGGTATTATTTGGTGGGAGTGTGGGGGCGGAGAGAGTTGTGCCACACCCAGCGGTGCTCAGGACTTCTTGCTGCTTTGTGCTCAGGGATCACTCCTGGTGGATTTCAGTGACCATATGGGGTACCAGGGATTGAACCCCAGTCGGCCGCTTGAAAGGCTCTTATCTCTCCAGTGCCTCAGGAATATTCTTGGAACATAATGGATTTATTCACCTATGCCATCTATAAACACGTGTTTGTGGAATTTGGAAAAACCGGTAATGAGGCATTTCAGAATTCAAGTGTTTACTGGCTCCTTTTAATAGTTTTCTGCAGCTTCTTAAGTGTGAGCCAACTGAAAACAAAGTTTCTATTGTAGACAATCATCTAAAAAAAATGAGAATTGGGTTTGTTTTGTGCATACTTCAATAAAGTCTCTAGCTCACATTATTTCCTTTGGCACACTAACCGAGCTGGGTCTGCAGGATGACATTTTTAGTGTTGGGGCAGAAAGGGGGGGCAGGGCATGGGGGATGTGAGAGACAGCATCCTGCCTGCTGGCACCTTCCAGTAGGGCAGAGGTCATCAGAGTCAGTGGTTTGAACATGACCATAAAGGAAATAAGACATATTTTTGTCATGTCACGGGCATGAAATTATCAGTGACAGAAATGCCCATAGCCTGCTTCCTGAACACTGTCATATTCATGGGGTTCCATGAGCATTTATGGGAGATGCCTGTTTGATTTGAGGACCTGGAAGCTTATGTGATTGCTACCAAGGAACCTTGGATGAGAGTCAGGGGAAAATGACCAGAAAGGATTCGGTAAGATGGTGGTTGTAGGGTCAGGACCCTCCTTTCATGGTAGTTTCTCATGATTCCAGCAATAGGAATTAAGAGAATATAGTGGAGAAAGAATGCCATTTGAAGTGGAAACAGATCAGATACAACGAGAATAGAGACACTGATTACGGTGTGCTGAGTTAATTGTTCCATGTGAATTTATTTGATCCTAAATAAAGATTCATGCAGTGGGGACTGTTCCATTGGAGAAAGATCCTGAGCTAGAGACTGAGAACCAGCTCTGGGCCCCGAGACAGGAAGGTGCCAGCCAGGAAATCTGACTCCAGGGCTCATTTTCATTTCCATTTGTTTAATTTGGGGAACACACCCAGTACTACTAACAGGCTATATTCCTGGCTCTGCTCCAGAGTGACCCCTGACAGAGCTTAGGGGAGCAGTGATGGTGCTGGGACTTGAACCAGGGTCTCAGCTGCCACCACTGCATGTGCCTCATGAGCTCTCTCCTCCCCACTCCAGGGTGTGTATTTTTTTTTAACCAGTATGCAAGATGATCTTTTGTGGCAGCTTATTGGTGGAAACACAGGAAAAACATACTGTGGTGGGTTGGATAGCACCCCTCCCCCCAAAAAAAGTGCTAATCCCAATCCTGCAAGTGTAACTGTA